TACATATAGCCTAAGGAGATATTTTTCCCCAGTCATCTATTGATTACATAAAGTGCTAATTAACTATTTACTTGGAAGAATATTTTCTGTCATTTCAATCATTAGAATAAATACTGCACTAATATCCTTGTTTCAGCCTTAAAATCATTGCATCTTATGTTACTACGATTGCAAACTCCTACCACTTGGGTTTGCATGACAAGGTTTTGGTAGCAGGGGAGCCATAGGGATAACTTTTGGGAGCTACAGGGCTACCTTCTCTGAGAAGCTGCCAGAAGCTTCTCTCATGTCTGACAGAGCCAAAGGCAGCTGCCTACAAGAGAGACCTGCCACCATCCAAGGCTGAGCCCACCAGTGATGGTGGCAGTGCCACCGGTATAGCAAAGCAGGAAAAAATCCAAAATGTGCAACAAGCAACAGCAGCCAGAGAAGAAAGGAGTGAGAATATTTGAGCAACAGACCTGCAGGCACCCAGGGCCAGTGAAGCAGAAGTGGAAAGAGGTGCTCCAGGTGTCAGAGCAGAGTTGAAGACCATGGTGTGGGAGCTGTGCCCCTGCTGCCCGTGGAGCTCCACGATGGAGCAAGTATCTGCCTGAAGCCCATGGAGGATCCTGTTCCAGAGCAGGTGGATGTTCAAAGGAGTCTGCAACACCACAGGAAGCCTGTGCTAGAGCAAGTTCCTGGCAGGATCTGTGGACCCATGGGGGACCCATGCTGGAGCAGTCTGTTCCTGAAGGGCTGCACCCCACAGGAGGGATCCATGCTGAAGCTTGTGAAGGGCTGTAGCCTAAGGGAACGATTCATGTTGAAGAAGTTTATGGAGGACTATCCTCTAGAAGGCAACCCAGACTGGAACAGAATGAATGTGAAGAGTCCTCCCCTTGAGAAGGAAGGAGCAGCAGAGACAATATGTGACAAAATTACTACAGCCCCCATTTCCTGTGACCCTACATAAGAGGAGGAGGAATGATGAGTGATCTCTCCCTGTCCTTATCTCAACAAACAAGCCTTTTGTTTCCCTCCCCTATCCAGATGACGAGGGCAGTGACAGTGACAGGGGTGGGCATTTGTTTTCCAGTCAAGGCCAATCACCACATAACAAGATCCCCTTTTTTGTACAATCAAACAAATTTATACTCTTTAGCTTTACAACCAATTCTTCATAACAGAAATGTCCTCTTAGATGCATTAAAAATCAGGATATCAAAATCAAAACCGAAGGCAGAAATGTAGTGTGTTGATAGCACACAAAATTCTGTGGCAAAGCAGAACTTATAATTATTAGCTTATAATTATTATAAAATTATAATAATTATAATTAATAATAATTAGAGGAGTTTTGGAAGTTAACTTGGAGGAAGTCACCCCTTGCAGTGGGGAGTGTAAAGGTGACTGCGCTGGTACTGCCTGGAGGTGTTCAGCGCTGTTGTGGCTCAGCACTGCCTGTGGATCTCATTCATTTGGGGCCAGGACTGAGAAAGGCCTGGAGGAGGCAACAAGGAATTTACCTATCATGTGGGATGAGAAGCAAACCAGCATAGGAGCAATAGTCCTTTTTCTTGCATTTCTTTCATAGTATATTCTTCCTTTAATGCTTTTTTGTATTCTTTCCGTTCTCTCCAGTAGATGTGGTGCTACCATCAGGTGCAAGATGATGCTCACAGGAGAACAAAAATCTTGTGCTTTTTGTTGGCAGTGTATCCAGTGGTGCTGACAGAAAAGCCACAGTATATTCCCACATCAAATATTTAGGCTGTGTTGCTTCTGACAGCTGTCTCCACCACAGCCAGTACTAAATCTGAAGACAGTCAACACCTAATTTCTCAAGACAGAAATGAGAGTGCTATATGAAGTAATCATAAGGGGCCCAGGCTTTGTCCTAGCTTTACCTTGCTCAGTGCTTATTTCCCTGCAGTATAAGCAGAGAAAACATGCTGACCTGGGTAAGGTTCATCAGCATTCAGAGAAGAAGAGCTATTTGATTTTGTGGTTTGCATATTGATTTAAAAGAATGAACCCATTCTGCATGCAACTGGAAAGTAAAACACTTTAAAGATCTCTGACTAATTTTCTGGAGCTTATTTTTCAATCTCTAGACAATGCATTTGGACGTGACTTCTACATTACTGTTTTATCTCCTCTGTTCACATTATTCTCAATACTGCAGTTCCTGTTCTGCAGAAAAATATGTTTAGTGTTCATTTTACTTTTGACATTTGTTTTCACCGAGCTTTGAAACTAACCTGTGTACAATCTATGAGTCCATTTGAAGTGAGGATGTATTTCCCAGATCTTTTGGAGCAATTTTGAAAACTTAAAGTACAATTATGGATCTATCTTGCATCATAATGTCTCTTTTTCTCAGCATCAGCTTTTATAGTATATGACTGTCAGGGTGTCTTTTATGTTTCTTGTTTAACAGAAGACCTTTTTTTAAGATTCTCTAGTTGAAATAAAACAGCTTTTTACTTGCAAACAAGAGTTTTATTTGCACTTCAGTGGATTCTGTAAATACCTGAGCATTTAATGTTCAGTTATGTATGTATTTCTTCAAATGACATTCTGATCTCCCTGATCCAGTAGTTAACATGTAGGCTCCCAGTGTGGGAACAGTTGCATTTCACAGGTCTGTTCATAAACCCATGTTTTAATTACAGATGCAACACTAAATTCCTAACAACACAAACTTAGTACTTAAATTATACTTATTTATTTCATTAAATACAAAATGCAATTATCTATGCAAAATAAATTAAATATGAAGAAAACCTGCTCCCAAATAAAAAAAAAAAAAAAACATCGGTTGGATGTCCTGGTTTGGGACAAATTTGGAAGGGAATGATGGGGATATCAGGGTACAACATCATAAAGACACCCCAGGAGATTGGGAAAAAATAAAAGATGGAAATAAGTACTCATAAATAGAGGGAAAATTGAAATTGAATTTAATCACCCAATGCAATTGATTATGAGTGGTACATGTAGGAAGAATCCAAGAAAGGTGTCCACAGGTATTCTAAATATTTTGATCAATATTAATGCTTCTTTGGGCTTTTGTTCTGTTTGTTTGTCTCTTTCTTTTTATTTATTTATTTTTTGAAACCAGGACTCCATCACTCTTCAAGCAACAGTCTTGTTTACTTACTATTTTCCTGGGATTGTCCCTCTTCAAGCTTGCAGCCTTATGTTGCTTCCCAGCCTGTTCACACATAAATGATTTTGGGAGAGAATACCAGCAATTAATAAAGTTTTTGCTCTTGTACTTTCCTCAGTCATGTGTCTAAGAATTGTGCGGAATGCAGAGTAATGCAGTAAAGAATAGAGAATGATGTTCTTCAATTTTTTTATTAATGTCTGTTAAATAGCAATATTTAAAAAATGTAACTAAATATACATAAATATTTTTTGAATTTACAGTGGATACCATATTTCTGTGCACATCACATGCTGGTAGTTGAGTAATCATAACTCTTATGATGTCTAATCGAATGCTAAATGCATTTCCTGCCACCATACCAGGCCAATGAATCATGTTAATACTGGTGAAACCATGATCATTTATTCAAATGATCTTACTAATATTTTGTATAGCAAAGATAAAAATCTCATGAGAAGTAGATGAAGCAGACAAAGTTCAAAAGGGTGACTGCCTGTAGAAACAATATTTTTTAATATAGTTCACCTTGACTTCAGACTGCAGGTGCAAAATACAGTAATATTAAAAAATGTGTTTAAATATGAGTTGCTGCAGGTGAACCAATTCAGTTGTCACATCTTAAAAGTCTTGTGATACTCATGAGCTACAGAGACACAGGCCTGGCACTAGTCTGCACTTCTGGAGCCAGAGGATCACCAGCCCTTTTGACAATTTAAGCTCTAGCTATGACATAAAATAGAACTTTGTAAGAGCTGCTGTGCACTGGTGCCTGTCTCTTATTGCAAGGCCCCAAATTCTTGTGTTACAGAGGTTCAAATTTGGAGCAATTCCCCGGCATCTGAGGAGAATCACGGCTTTAAAAAATAATAAAAGAGTGGAAACAAGTTCAGTGCTTCTTGCATCTTTCAGGACTTCTGAAGGTGAGGGTCTTGATAGGAAGGCGAAAAATGAAACTGATTGCAATTCATTTTTGTGGTGTAATATGGGTATAAACACATTGCTTTGGATAATGATTTATGCCACTGCACTTTAGATGAGAGCCACAAAGCTTACAGTCTGTTCAGAAACCCAAGGATGGAATTTGCCCTGACCTTGGCATGATGTCATATTCAACAAACTTCAAAAAAGAAAAGCATTCATCCAGGTTTTCAGTAATGCCCTTTTCGACATTTTCCTATTAGCTTTCATTGGTGCAATGACAACATTGCTGTGTTATGAGCTCCTTCTGCTCCACTACAGTTTCTGTATCAGTCAGGGTCTTCCACGATGCTCACACAAACACACCACACACACACATGGAGTGCTAAAAATTATTCCCTACCACATTACTCTGCTCCCCACCATGTTGTTCTATTCCCCTGCCACCCTGTGGTTCCAGTGGAGCTAAACTGTCACAAAACTTGAGCAGTGCTGTGACAAATCAAACAAGTTTGCGCCACCCACACACAAAGTCTTTGCCCCAGAGAGTTGTGAGACTGCATTTCTTGCTTTACAATGATTAGAACCATAACCCTTAGAGTTTTTAAGAAAAAAAGAGTACACAGGGAAAAAAAACCCCAAAACATATCCTGAGCAAAATATCCTTAAGAAATAAAGCAGCAGAACAAGAGGAAACAACAAGAAAGAAAATATTAGATGTCAGATTTTGAGCTGGTGTAAGCTGGAGCAGCTCCATTGCCTCCAGGGGACCTGTGCCAACTTATCCAATACATAGGCTCTGGCCCAGTATGCCCTTCTAGTCAAATCACTGAACTGGTACCTTCAAAGCTTTCCCTATGATGTTGTTAAATTTGTATTGCTACCAGCAAAAATTTATTTAAAAAAAAAAATTTGCATACCCAAATTATTCACATTGCTTTATTTTTTCTTTGTCAGTTCACAAAAGAAAGTATTTCAAGTTGTCATAGCCTTGCATTTAGTCAGTGAAAGAGTAATCTTGAAAGGAGGACATTGTTTTACAAATTGGACACATACCCTGTTTACTTTCCTCTAAAATTTGCACACTATAAAGCAAGTGGGTTTTTTTTGTTTTGTTTTAAAACTTTCTTCATATATTATCATACAAAAATATTCATATGCAAGTAATAAAGAATTTTTTTTAAACATCCAACTTTTTTAAACCTAAATCAAAGTCACACCAAAAGTTTTTTTTTTTTTGTTTGGTTTTGAGTTATTTTGTTGGGTTTTTTTTTTCATCTAGACAAAGTACACCTTGTGCTTTAACAAACTTATGGCATCATGTGCTCTTTACAAGGATTCTATTGAAAAAGCTCATGTGTTGTTACTCATTAAATAATGTAAAACTTGCCTACATTTGTGGGTTTTATTTCTCTTAATCCTCTTTTCCCCCATCTATGTGTTATTTGTGTTTGTATATATGTGTGGAAAAGTTAAGGCAAGTTCAATCAAAGTTACAAAAATCAATGTTTCTATTGCTAATATGTGCAGCATTCATATTTAGTGAGTGATGTCTTTTCTCTTGTAAGAATAAAATTGATGAAAATACAAAATGCTTAATATGTTATAGCTATTACAATAAGGTCTTCATCTTTTTTATACCAGGCTTGGTGAATTTTCCAAAAGTTAGGATAACATAAACCATGTTCATTTTAAAGCAACATACACTGAAACTAGGTAACATTTTGATTATGACTCTCTTGCTTCTCAGCAATAAGTATAGTGTTACTACAAAAATGCAGTTCCTTTTAGCTGTGCCCCATCTAATTTTTTTTAAAAATAAATATAAGTACATCTCTTTAGGTAAAATCTTTAATATACAGTAGGCATAAATATAGGTTGATGTATTTCTACTTAACTTTAGTGCTCATACTTTTAACTTTAATCATTTTGAACAAATTGTATAAAGGAAGAGACACATTTTCCAATTTATAGTCATACTTGTAGCCTTAAAGAAAACCTTGAAAAAAAATGTATATGTTAATTTATGGTTTTTATGGCAGTAGTTATGGACATTTAGAAAAGACAATGATGCTAAAACTTCAATTAAATTGTAGAATAAACAGAAATTCATGTTCACAATGACTGGGCCTGATTCTGCTCTTTATTTTTGCACCATTTATACTGACCAACAGTTAATTCTGCTGACTCCAGTAGAAGTATTTTTTTTTACTTTAATCAGCTATAAAGAGAATTAAGATAAAAGGTGCCAAAGCCTAGCATGACACTTCCTTGCTCCATTCCATCAATGCAAAATTAAAGATGGTAAGGAGACATTTATCTCTTCAATGTATGTGCATGTATTCAACAGGAGCTGCAAAGCAATTCCACTCTGCTGACTCCTCAGATTATGGGAGTCCAGCTGAGAGCTTTATTAACAAAGTGCTTTATCAAGATGCTTATCCAGGTGATAACTTTGAACAGTGGGTTCCCAAGAAGGGAATATCACTGCTTGAGTTGGGTTGTGCATTCTGCTTGTGGACAGTCAGGTCCTTCTGAGATGAGTAAAGGAACTAAATAAAATTAAAGAAACTAAATCCTCTAGAAAAAATTGCTTTATTTGTATTACTTTTGCAGTTTTTTTTTAGGAAAGAGCAGGTGATGAAATTTTTCTTCTAGCATTTGAAATAGACATATGTTCTTTCCATTAAAAATCTTTTTGCTCATTTTGTTTACTTGTTATCTGAAGAAGGTGCAGAACACATAATATGCCAATAAAAAGATTTACTTATGAAATGGTGCATATGCTTAATTTTATATATTATCAAAGGTTTCATGACACTAGTAACTGCAAAGACTTTAATAATATGCTTTTCTTGCAAAATTCAGAGGTGGCTCAAAACTGCCATGAGTGACAACAGGGGATATTTAGCTGCATTGTTGGGAGATAATCCCTTTTACTCTAAAAGCTAAGATTAGTATTCTTTCTTTTAGTATACTCCACTCATTGCCTGTTGCTGCTTCACCACTGCCCAGCACTGGGCAGCTTCCTTCTTTAACTTTATTAGCATGCTGAACATGTATCATTAACAAGTCTTCAAACCTTTATAATGAAGCTGTCACAAATGTTTTATGAGTTTTCTGAATAACATAAAAATATCTTAGGTCATATTTTTACAGGACATGTAAAATAAATTACAGCAAATTACCTAGAGCAGAAGAACCATAAGAGTTACAGGAAGAAAGGGAAGATAGCTGTGTTCTAGTAAAGTATTTGAAATAACCAATGATAATTTTGTAAGTTCCTATGGATTCAACTTGACTTTGAAATATTTTATTTATTTATTTTTCAAGACTTTGGAGAGCCTTAGAAAACCAACAGGTAGCAATCAGAAGGCTGGGAAAACCTCAGCTTTTAAAAGGAAGCTCATTTCTCAGTGAGCAGAGGGAATCAGACTCACTGTGCCTGAGACTCCAAGTATAATAGCACCTGAAAGGACAATTTTCCCTTAAAATACCTATTTTTTGGATTGGCTATAAAGTAGAGAACTGACTGAAGTGGGAGCTAAGGAAATCCAGCAGCTCTTTGAACAGTTTCCATGTGTACATTTGTGCTGAAAGTCTCCTGACTTTCAGACTTGTTTATGACTATTTTACTCCAGTTCTCTGGACTTCCACTCCATTCTTTCTAATAAACTCATGTAGTGCAATGGTATCTCAGTCCTGATGTGTCCTTATGAAAACAAATCAGAACAAAACAAAGCAAGTCCAAGCAAACAAAAACACAATTCAAGACGCTACAAGGAATGAAAACATTCTTGAAAATTAATTATTTCAGTCTCTGTCCAACTTCTTATGCTCGAGATTCCTGTCTGAGGGGATCTTGAAGGTTGTATACCTGGTAAGGTGAACAGAATGACTAAAAAGGAATTTTTCTTCAACATTCCCTAAAGAACATTTTGGCAAGTGTCATTTCAAGCCGATAGCATCTTTGCTGCTGCTTCTCACTCTTCAAACAACTAAAAATATTTAAAAAATGTAGGAATAGTATTTGCTGTGTGGTACTGAAAGCTATTCACAAGCTCTTTTGTTTAGAAGAGTGAAGAGGTAATTGGAGAAAATAAGAGATGAACTGTACTGACAGCATTATTTACAACAGGAAATTTGGCAGATATTCAGGTAGGTCCTTTTAACTAGGAAAAAAAAAATCCTACATCTAACAAGGTTATATAAATGGCTTCAGATAGCAAACAGTTGGTGAAGGAAGTATCTTCTAAATTTGGGATTCTAGGCAAAAGATATCTGTAATTTCCTGTGGCAGCAGGACTTGATGAATGCTAGTTGTGTTAACCTACCTGGTCATGACACGACCAATAAAAATCTTCCCTGTACCTCTCCCACCCCGTGTCACCCCAGCAATGTACCTGTGTCACAGCATCCCTAGCAATGCCTTGGTTACAAGTTTGTCATCTCCTTGCAGCACATGGGAAATACCTTGCTATGAAAAAACTCAGATTTTCAGGATTTCCTTGCCTTTTTTGAGTGCTACTTATTTTATTTTGTTGTACAGTTCTATGATTAAATAACCATTTAACCAACAAGTTAAAATACCTATGTACAGGAATAAAATTGCATAAAGTGCTTTCTGTGATGTAAGTAAGATTTGAGAGTGATTATTGCAACAATTTTGTCCCAGATATCTGCACAGTTTGCAGATTCATGTGTTTTGCTGAGGTAGGCATAGTTTAGTGGTGTCAAAGAAGGAGCCTGGTGTCACTGAAATATTTTGCTAAGATAGATGGAGAGACAGTTGTGTCACTGTTCTCCTCACTGCTTTGTATTTACATAATTGTTCCACATGAAGTTGCCTAGATGTTAAGATGAAAAATGTACAGTGTTCTAATGTGATGCTAAAGGTAAACATATAATACTCATTGTTTAAATTTTCTGCTGAAACATTCCTAAGAACTCAATTAGGGCTGCAGTGAGCTGTTCGCCACAGAATATTAACTCTGGCAAACAACTTCTTGTATGTCTGTAAATTCATTGCCACTTGTGTTTTAAATTTACAATGAATAATGGGATTTTCTAAACAAATATCTCTATGATTTACCTGTCATGCAAAGAATGTAGAGAAAATTCAGAAAAGACTCTTACTTAACTTCCTACAAAACATCAGGAGAAAACAACCTTCCTTTTAAAAAGAATTCTATAAACCCAGGTTAAAAAAGATTAAGTAATTGCATTGCTAATTTGCTTTTCTTTCTTTATGCTTGTTTTTCAAGTGTGTGTGTGCAGACTGCAGCTTAAAGGAATATCTTGAGCCCATAACTGACATTTTAAAGATTTTTTTATCTCAGAGAAGATCAGAATAGTATCAGGATGTTGCTTCACATGAGCATTCTATGTGGATGTGAAAAATGGTATACTGAGAACAAAAAATACAGCCTTTTTTCAGCTCAAAGTTTTACTCCTGCAAGTCACAGGAAAGAAGACATCTACTCACCCTAAACATCTCTGCAAAGAGTTTTTGTGTGAACCCCAACCTGAAGCCTTACAGCAAGCTTTGAGTGCTTGTACTTCAGTCTGCAAGGTAAACAGATATGAGAGGAGGGGATGGGACTGGATAGGATGGGAGGGACAGGATGGGGTGGAAATTCCTGCAGGAGTGCTCAGGTGTGGTGTTACCTGACTGAGATGGCAATTTCCTGTAGCTGCCATGTAGTGCTTTCACACTAACCAAGCAAGCTGACCTCTTTCTATGCTCGGTGCTGGTGTTTAGTTTGAACATGGAGCAAATGGGAAATATTGCCAGCTGTTCCTGCTCTTCCAGCAGCTTTGCCCCAGGGTACCTGTCCCTCAACATCTGATAGTTCTCATGTTTATTTTCACTAACATCAGTAGCTATTTTCTGCCCACCTTCCCTGTGTGCTGCCTACAGCAGGTAGGACAGTGGGGATGCCAGAGGTTCCTTCTGCAACCACCCACACAGGAGCAGCTAAACATGAGGCCAGAGGAGTCTGTGCTGCCCTCCTCCATGCATAGGAACACACTTTCCCCTCTGTGGAGCTTCTCAGTCATAGACATACAGTGCAGCTTCCTGCTCTGGCTTGCACTCTGTCACAAAATGAGTTTGAGAGTATGGGCTCAGTAGATATTAATTGATCCTGGATGACTTTGTATTTTTGAGGATGGCAGAGGGAGAGCTAGTATTTGATTAACAGAGAAAGAGAAGGTTAAAAAACAGATCTATTTTATTTCTTCATAATTTGTCTCTTCCTTTTGGCATGTTCTGATGGTTAAGAGAAGTCTTTATAAAAGATATCAATAACTCCCTCAAATTCTTAGCTCTCACATTTTTCTTCAAATTATTTTCCTTAGACTAGTGATCAAGAAAAATGTTTGTACTCTCTATAACCTCAATACTAGATAAACTATTTAACATTTAGATCCTAGACAATCATGAAACTCTTAGTCCCCCCAAATAACAATATTTGAATTGACTGTTGAATGATTCTGAAATTATGTTATTTAAGGTATTAGCTATTTAATGTTAAGAATGCTGATAAGCTTTTGGGATGAGTCTGGTTGTAATTACAAGTTGAATTTGTCCCTTTAAAAAGTCTCAATAAAAATATACTCGTTTTTCAGTAACCTGAACAGCTTGAGAATTGACATGTTTTCCACATAAGATATCAGACCTGCCTTTGTAATTTCTTCTCTAACTACTTATGACCCTATGGACTCTAAACATACACCAGAGCTTATTAGTCCAGAGCAAAATCAAACTTTGTTATAATGAGAATTTAAAAAAAAAAAAAAGCATAGAAAAACTCTTAATAGCTGAAACATTTTTATCATTTTCGCTCCCCAGGGCAACAACTCTGAGTTTTGGAACATCAAGTCAAGGCTCTTTGGTGAAGTGTGATGCTGCCAACGTATTGGAGGATAGGGACAGAGTCAATGGAAAATGGCCCAGCAGAATTACATCACAAACAACAGCTCAATATCCATGCTAAATTCAGTGAATCTGAAATTAAAGACACAATGGTGTTCTTCAACCTCCACTCAGAGGGCTATTTAGGAGGTGAAGAGATGTGCCTATACAAACAAAAAACAAAAAGGCCAAGGAATTTTCAACCCTCATAATACAAGGAAACATTCTTATGAGGTTGCTTACATTTTTTCTGTTGCCAGCCACTTTAACCTATTTCTCAGCTGGGTTAGAAAATGTGTCCCAACAACAACAAACCAGGTAGGGGGTAGGAGTGAAGGAATTTAGTTATTCTAGTTAATAAACTAAGTCTGTTACAGAGATTTTTTTTAGTGCTGACAGATTTTTGCCTTCCTCTTTATAACAACAATGGAAGGACTGTGCTGGACTATCAACAAGTACAAAATCCTTCGGAAGTGTATTAGACATACAGGGACATATTTGTGTTGCTGATCTGTCTGGATGGCCTCCAAAAAAGCCAGTTGCTTGATGTAGGTCAGCCAGAGTACAGAGCTTTGCATGACAAAAGAAACCACAACACAGTCAAAAAGCAAGTGGGTATTTTGCCCTTTATTCTCCATTGACCATTGTTCTATTTTTGAGCTTACTTTACTATTGTGGTTTTCTTCCTTCTTTGGATTTTAATTAAATTCTCCTTAGGCTTACTAGCTTGACATTTTCTTCTTCTTTTTTTTTTTTTTTTTCTTTTTTTTTGGTGTAAAAATGAAGGAATCCTTTTTACTAGGCCACTTTTCCCAAATCTCACTGCTCTATCTATAATTTAAATGAGTCATTAATGCACAATATCCAAATAAAGCCTTGTGAATTTGGATCAGGCGGGTATAACAAGCTTTCTGACTATTATGGAACTGATTATCACCCATTATGTAAAATACACATGGTTTTCACAGCTTTGCAGAAATAGAAAAATCTTAGTTTGCGCCTTAGCCTAACAATGCTGAACTTTGTGGATAGAACATATAGAAAGCGTTTGATGTTGGCTGCCAGGTGAGAACTGGGTCCCCACTAAAATCCAGAAGGCATTTTGCTGTTCCTTTCCTTGCAGCCAAGATTTCAGCTTGTCACAGACTGCAAATATGAATTCCTTTTTCTTTTTCTTTGTTTTTCCAGTTTTCTTCTCCCAACAAATCAATCCTGCACTCATTCAGTTTTATTAGATTTACTCTCAAATCATAATGCTGTAACTGAGAACAGAATCAGACCCAGCAATGCATTTTGTCTTCAAAATAATTAGCTGCATTCTATACAGTCTCCCATTTCTTTCCAGCTATGTATCCTCTCTGACGAACCTATATACTGAATTTACACAAGCTGTGTAACAAGAGTCCTTTTATAATATGGACTACCATGATTGGAGAGAGCCTTATAAAGACAGAGCACCACACTTGAATAATTCACGTGCATAGAATCCACATACAGACCCAAAGTTATTAACCAGGCAGAGTAAGTTTTTCTGATCATCACACTGTGCCTTTTTTAAAATAAAGTGCTATTTGCTTATGGCTAAACCTTATATGTGGCTATTGCATGCACATTTCAGGCTGCATTGTCAAAAACCAAAACACCTTCACCAAAAATGATGGAGCCTAAGCACTAGGGCAATGACAATTTTTGTTGGTTTTGTTTTGTTTGCTTGTTTGTTTGTTTCCATTTTATTTTGCATTCCAACAGAATTTTTGTCAAACATAGAGCACGTGAACACACAACACTTTCCTTCACTGTTCCCCACACAGAGCTGTTCACAGAAGAGGGAGTACTAAGGAGGAATGTTTCTAAAGCCACAGACAACTTCTCCACTTATTTCAGGTTTTGTGGTTTCTCTTTTATCTTGTTTGCTTGTTTTTCTTATATTTAATATTATGACAAAACATTATAAGAAAATCTTCCTTTAAGTAGTGTGAATATCAAATAGTATTTGTCAATCCCTGAATCATGCTATTCAAAGTGCTTAAATCTACACTAAAAATAGAAGAAGAGAAAATTTCTTCCCATGTGGCTAAGGAAAGACCTACCCATTTTCAAATAATTACATCCTACATTTATTCCACATCCCAGTCTTTACACCAGGGCATGTAAAGGGGAAAAGAATAATGCATTGCTTTCAGAGGATCCTGGGGTATTTGGGACTGTTGTGATTTAAGCCCAGATGGAAATTAAGCACCACACTGCCACTCACTCAACCCCTCCCCTTCTCCTCCCCTCAGCCCAGTGAAAACCAGGACAGGCATCCAAATGAATGAAGGAAAATGCCATCAGTGCCTGACAGGTGTCTGTAAGAGCAAATAAATAATAGCTTTTTTAAAGCAAACGTGCAAAGTTCTCTTAAAATTTTATGTGACCTGGCAGCCTAATTTCCATTTTGTGGATGTTTGGCACATGTCCAGAGACACTATAATAAAGAACGGGTTGTAGAAAAGGACTTGAAATTAATCTCAGAGAAATAAACATTTTAAGCAAATGAAAGTGTACACCTCAAAGGTCTATTAGCTTCTTATGCAGATGCTGAGATTTCTTGACTTTCACAACAGAAGAACAGTCATTTCCTCCCGCACTGTCAGTTCTGGATTGCTCCCACAAATATCTCTCAACCTGCAGCTTCTCCACTCACTTCTCATTAAGACCAAAATATTATAAGCTCTACTTTTCTTGTTGTGACAATCATGATGAGCAAACCCCACAACATCCATTGTATTGGCCGATATCATTCAGCTGCCACAAAAACACCTAAAGCTAATTAATTACATAAATAGACTCCAAGGCCTGTTTGCCAGGACACCAGTTACACTTCTGCCAGGGTAAATCAAACCCAAGGCTCTATGACAGTGTGCTGCAACCAGTAGCTCTACTCCAGCTCCTCTGCTTCTGCCAGCAGAGAGCTTGGCCTGAATTTGTTGTAGAGCTGCACCACTCCTCTCTACTTCTAAAACCAGAAAGGACTTTCTGTTATTTAAAACATAAGTATGAGCAAGGTGCTTATTTAATTTGTCTCAAAGGTGTCTGGATGTAAACACAGTGGTGGGCTTTTATTCATCCCTGTCAGCCATGGTACATGCATTATTTGCAACTCCTCAAAGATGGAATCATACATAAAAATAAAACTAATTTATTTATTCATTAAAGTGAATATTTTTTTTAATACTTCCAGGTCTGATTTAAATATTAATTTTGTATAAATAAAGTTTATTCTGAAAACAGTTATATTTCTGGTAATCACGTCATTTTTTCTGCCTGAGTTCTTACTGAAATCATGTTGAAATTAATAAAGTTTTATTTATCGTTACAAGCTAAAACCAAATGAAAGAAGATTTCTTAATCTTGAATATATAATTTTAAAGCAAATACAGTTTTTGGAACATTAAAATACAAGGGACTCTGAAATCCACAGGAAAATAATGTTTTGCTCTTACTTTTTTTTTTGAAAATAACACTTTCTATAATACAAAGTGACAAACCATCTACAATACTGTCTTTTTTATTCCCCTTTGGTTTGGAAGTCATCACTGTACATATCAGCAGGACTCTGCACTTCAGTGTCTATTGCCTCACTTGTCTTACTCGCCTGACATTTGCAAATGTTATTTGCAAGATTTTGAAAGTTGAGAAAGGAAGAAAAAAAAAGAGTGCTTAAAAAATAAAATCCACAACCACATTAATACTTTTCCAGGACGTGTTAAAAATAGGGTTGCTTTTATATTTATAAAAGGCATACAACCAACTCATTCTTAAAATAAGAATTAAGAAAGAAACCAAACCCAAGAAAGCAAAAACCAAACCGGCTATAGTTTCTACACACTCTAGTGACTACTGTGAAGCAACCAATACAGATTGGGTATTTTCTCTTGTTTGACAGGTATCTACCAAGTTACATGTTAGATGGTCAGACTGTAGTATTACCCCAAATGGGGCTCTTTGTAAGGGCAGGGAAGGAGCAGTGCACATTACGGGAGTAGAAATGAAACTGGAGCTCTCAGTGAGCAGTGGGGTCCTTCTAAGAACAAAAACTCTCCAAAAGAGGTGAGCTGCAGCAGGCATGGCTAGGCAGGCCAACAAAATGGATGGTGCTTCTGATATCAACATAGCTTTGTCCAAGCATTCCCAAGAGAGGTTATAAACAAACAAACAAAAAAGTCTAAAACTATACTAATGAAGCAAAAAAGTTTCCTATCTATACAGCAGTCTCTTCATTTAAAAAAAATGTAAATATACAAATTCCAATGACATATAAAACAAAGTCAAAAATGTGAATGGGAAGAGACATGGGTAAAACAGGAAGACTGATGCTACAAAGAAATTGAAAAAACATATGTACAAGACCCTGTTTTTCCTCGTTTGTTATCGATTGTAATGCATGTTTAACAGCAGCAGTCGAGGATGTAGTTCCAGGCACCAGACTGCAGACTCTGCTCCTACTCAAGGGGGTTGGCAGCCCCTTGCATGTCGGTCACCAAATGACACTGGATATACTGGTCTCCCGTGGCAGGAGGGGCAGTATGGCACTGTTTGTGTGAGCCTCTTCGGGGTTCTGCTCCCTGTTAGTTTTTGTCTGCGGCCGCTGCCCGTTTATAAGTGTCATGGGGATGTTGCAGTAGGTGTGCTGGTTACCTATTGAGGTAAGAGGCAGGGTGCCAGCAGGAGGTACATCGTACTCATAGCTCCGGTAATAGTGTTTCTGGCGCATCTGTGAATGATATGTGTTATGAAAGGTGGAGCGCAGGTCTGGATGGGCAGTGGCAAGAGCAGTGGAGGTGGCAGCAGCCATGGAAATTGCGGAGACTGTCTGGAGTTCCCCAAAGGGCCCCTGCTCACTGACATCTAAAACCTGCTCGTTTGTCATGGGTTCAATCCTCTTAAAAGGCATTTCGTACTGTAAACGTTTCCAGAACTTGGAATTCAACTTGTTGCATTTTGGTCCGTGCCATTTAATGACAGTGAGGAGCTTGATGGTATGTTTTAGGGCCTCAACCTCCTGGTAGTTCATAACTCCTCGTAGTTCACTGCATTCAATCAGTATCACTTTGATTTCTCCCGTGACTAACATATTTCGAAGCCTTGTTTCCAGTTCAAAGATGCTCCAACCTCTTCTTACCACGTAACTTGGAGTCATGACGATGATCAGTCGCTTGCTTTGGTCTACACATCTTGCCACGTCTTCAATGTAGGCTACAAAACAAAACAATTGCTCAAAAAGCAATCTAAGAAAACAGTCTGCTCTCATAAACTGGTGAGAAAGAACAGAGGCAAATCCCTGCTCCCAGATGATCTCACTGAAATATGCAAAAAACATCATTTATAAATGTGCCAGGCTGGCCTGGCAGAGCATGATCTTGAGCAACCTGCTCTATGTGGACCTGCTTGAGCAAGGAGGTTGGAAAATATGACATCTACAGGCCCCTTCCAACTTCAGCCATTCTGTGATCCTGCAAAACATCTACTCTCACATGTGCTATGGATTGTGAGTGTTTCTTCATGAGCTGTGGCTTTGTATCATCTATATTGATATTGGAACAAATATGCCCATCATGATTTTTACCTTTTAAAAGGCAAGGTCACGCAGTTAGACAACTGAGCAGCAGCCATGTGCTTCTGGACCTCAGTCTCAAATCCAAATGATATGCTAAGTTGTTTTGGTAGGCTAAGATTCTGTTTTTCCTACATGCCCCTTCCACACGCATTCATAAAAATTGTTATTTCCTGCAAATTAGTGTTTAGTGTGTTGTAGATTTAAAAAATATCCATTAGATTGCTTGATGTTCTATGTTGTTTGTCTATACCAAGCATCCTTTCTTTTCTCTTTCATTAAAGGTATTAAACTTAGTCACTGTCTATATGGTTACACTGAAGTCATGAAGAATATTACAACAACTAACAAAATATTACTGCACTTATGTTGGAATATGTGAGAGGAACATGAAAAAGATCTACTTGTACCAGCTGGAATCAATTCTAGTATTCAGTCTCTGAGAATGATCAAGTACATCCACTATAGAATTGGCTACAGTGGACACTGACAGAATTCACTACTTTTTTTTTTCTGGTGTATTTCTCAATCATTATCTTAGTCCAAACACAGTTTTTTCCTTCCTGTGTGAATTTCTGTAATATTTAGAATCATGGATATATTTCCAAACAAAATCTAAGGAACTGAAAACACAGAACTTGGTATTCATTCCTAGATGTGCAAGTTCTCAAAAAATCTGAAAAATGTTAGTTTCTTTCATTTCCTTTACTTATGCATCCCCTTTCTGCACTGTTTAACCTTCAATTAAAACAATACAATTACTAAATAATGATCCTCTTATCTGGGAAATGCACATTAAGGTTTGGTGGCTTATCCTCACCATTCTCGAAGACATGGGAGAAAAGATCACATTCTGAAGGAGTAGATTTAGAAGCAAGACTAAAACAATCCCTGCAATCACTCATTTTCTCATTCAATATCATATGAAAATAAAGATATTACTTACTTCCTGTGGGAATCAAATCTCTGTCCGGTATGAACAACTTGTATCCATAATGCTTTTCCAGCATATCTGGTAGAATCTCAAGAGCAAATCTTTCTTCTTCTCCAGTTTCTTGATTCCACTGGTCAGGATCCACTTTGGTATAAGATAGATATGCATCATAATCTTTGTTGTCTAAGGAAAGAGGGAAATTAAGTTAGTTTATTCCTTATTTTAAGAGTTTTCCCAGATATTTCCTCAGGTATTATTTCTGGGAGAATTTTCTGGGAACAGGAAATGGTTTAGATAAAATGGCAAGCTTTCACCCAGTCTCCAGACATGCATCCATTCAGCTTTCCTGTTTCCCCTGGTAGGGATAATCCTGAGTTACACAGACACAAGGAAGAAAGGCTCCATATCCATAGACAGAAGTCAGTTTATGTAAGGATCTGAATGAAGGAAATACATTCAACAGCAGGGTGACAGCTCATGAGCACAAAAGTCAAAAGTCATTCAGAATTTGCATTCTTCTCTAGCATAAAAGGAGAATGAAGAGCATGGAAATCACTGGGCTAATGTAAATGTCTCTGCTGCATAGTAAAAGTATTTCAGTTTTACCAGAATATTACTATAAATTTAGGACCTAAGGCTGAAATGCTGTAAGTGTACATATAGCATTCCTTGTAAAACTCTTTAATTCTCCCGGTCTGAAATTATTGCCAAGCTCAAATCTTTCCAGCATCAGCTCCTGATAATGTAATTTAAATTTCTTGAATTCTGTGCACTTAAATTTGCAAATTTAATGTTGTATTAATGTAAATTTCATTACTTAACAGTGTGTTACTTAAATATGAGAAATAACCATGCCTGTGTTTTAAATGTGCTTGGTGTGCCTACTTGAAAGACTGAATCAAAAGGGCTGCCATTAATTTTCATTAGGAGGTCAATAATGCCAAGTGTTCTGGAACTAATTCAGTGGAATAAGAGGTCACGTTTTGACTTTTGTTGTGAAGAAAGCAGAGGAAAATCAATGACAAGAGTAATGAAATGTTAACATCCTTCTAACTCTCTTGACAACATTATGAACAGACACCCAGAATATCAATCGCTTATAAAAGAGATCTGATTGAATATTCTAAATACTGTGTGTCTTAACTAATGTTATATTCAGTCAGTGCTGACTTCATTTATTTATTGAGCAGCTCCTTTCTTCATTTTACACCCTTTTGTAGTCTAGTAGCATTATTTTGTAAAACCTGCCAGCTGTAGGGTAGACTGAAAGAGTGTAAATGAAATTAATGGAGCGGTGCTAATCTTGAGCAGTCCTCTCTCCCTTCTGAGGAACCATATCCCTTCTGATATGTTCACCATGCTAATTAACATTTGCAGATGACAGAACAGATGTGGTTGCACTGTTACTACTTTTAAACTTTCTAAACCTGTGAAATGGCCATTCTGTGCTCATTCTGTTCCCTGCACATCTTTTGTGCGATATTATCTAATGCATTGTTATAGCCACAGGAAAAAAACAAACAAAACAGGTGAAAAAAAACCTCCAACCAAAACAACAGCAAAAAAGGGAAACTAAGAAAAAGAGAAGCACTGCCTTTTATGGGTCACACTTTCCAGGATTTTTTGGGATTTTTATTTATGATAACATGTCCTTTAACAATAGAAAAGCATTTCCTGCCTTTGATAATGCCTTAAAATAAGATGGATTTGATCAAGTATGATGTAGAAGGACATACACTGCAGGTTTTTGTTTCTGCAGTAGAACAGTGATAACTCAGCAAAAGACTTACCACACAGTGAGGTCAACAAATATATGGGGAAATTATTACAACTGAAAAAATGCTTGTGCTGCAATGACATATTCTATTGTCATACATTAATGGTCATGACCATGGTACATGCTTGAGACAAGTGCTGCTCTGTTCAGTAAAGATGAGAATGCATCATTTTTCAAAGAGGTAAATAATAAGAAAAAAAGCAGAATTCAAACTGTTTTAAAGGCTGAGTATTGCCTGCTAAGATACAAACACACATTCTTACTTGGAGGGGATTATTTGTGCTGTGACATTGTTTTACTGCATATGCAAATATCGCACTTATGCATTTAGTCAAAGTACACATTTTTTGTACCATGGAGGCTCCAGCATCTCTCCTAACTACAGCTGCATCACCCTGTATTGCAGGGAAGATATCTTTGCCTCCTAGTTTTACTAGTATTTGTAGGGCAAAGAATGGTTGGGGTCTAGGGTATATCTGCAGAGATGTTTTCAGGCATCAGGTATGGGGCAGCTCTGGGTTAATTCATCACAATGAGGTCAAATGCAGCTTGCGCTCAAGGTGTGATGCCTTCAGTCCACAAATGTTTCAGTCAGCCCCAAACCACGAGTACTGCAAGACTGCAGGCAAAACAGACTGAGTTACAAACTGTCCTATCAACTCAACCATTCTATGGAGCTAAAAAGGAGAAGATTTTAAGTGAGCAATGGTCATGGAGCCACACTCAGCCACAGGTTTAGACAGACCTTAGGGGTAAACACTGAGGGTCAAACCTCATCTCTATTAATAACACATGGAAAGATTACTTCACTTAGTGGCCCAGATTTCTAGGCAAAGCACCCATTGCATCATTGGAGCATGCATTCTTTAATCCTGCCCATTCCTTTTGGTACTCATCTAAATGCAGGGTATGCTGTCATGCTCCCTGTAACTTTCTACAATGTTAATCCAACAGAAGTGATATAAATTTTTAGGGGATGAAGCTGTAAATGCTTCTTGTTATTCCAAGGATGTGCTCAGCAGCAGTCACTTAAAGGCTCAGTGTAAGCATAAAATGAAACCCAGACTCTATATGCATCTACTTTTTCACATGCAAATGGGATCTTTGGGTAAGTAAATTGCTATCAGACATCTAAGAACTCATCTGTATGCATGCTCTCTTAACAGCTACACATGAAGAAATGATAAGCTGGTGCCTACAGGAAGAAAATAAAACTCCCTCTTCTACAGGGACCACCAAGCACATTTAACATCAAATTTGCATTATAGATGTATGTGTTTTCTAATGATTTCCACGTTACACTGCAAGAAGTCAGCAGTTTTGGCCTTTGAGGGTTTATTAAACTTAAACATTGAAGATATTCCTGCTAATGTGGGACAGAAAAATCATAATGAAAAATTAAAAAAGAAAAATCCAAAACTTTCTAGAGTATTTTTTTTTTTTTCTTATCAGCCATGTTCAAGCCAGTCACAAATTCTGACTTTTAGCTGGCATGATAGATTTTAGCACATGACAGATTAAGGGATCAAAACCAGGAGAAATCCCACAATGTTGTCTTTCATAATGAACCTTATTTCAATTAAGCTCTAAGACCTAGAGGATAGAGTCAGTTTATGTGCCTGTGCATCCTGAACTCCTCAGATTATTTTGCAGTGCCTTCAGACACATTCAGTGCAGTGGAGGCAGCTGACCATGCACAGGATTTCAAGGGGAAACAGGATATTGGATCCTTCTATATGCTGCAGGGAGCTGGAGTCAAACTGATACAGGAAACTTTTGTCTTCAAAACACATGATCTGTTCAGGAAAGGTTACAAAGAACCTGCCAAAGTTTCTCAGAGACTGTAGTTGCTTAAAAATTATGGCATTTCTTAATCTGTATTTGCTTCACTATTTTAGGGGCTACATTTAATATATACATTGGGATAGTGGTTATCCTTAATATAATGAAAAAATGTCATTTAATGCTGAGTTGAATAAACTACTCAAATCCTAGGTCTTTCAAAAATACTTCTACTTTTCTTCACACTATTTACTGTTGCTGATGTAACATTTTCTATTATTTTTAAATGTCAAGCCCTTTTAATGTTAATAAAAATTAAGAACTACTCACACAATTTTTCCATAGCATAGTATATTTTAAATGTAGCATTCCTCATGATAGTTCACATTCTTGTGCAAGTGAGTGATGTTGAATTGTATGGGAATATCTTTTTTTTCTACTTTGCATCTGAACTTTTTAACCTATAACAATCTCTTAGTTTGAAATTCAAAGATGATCTTGGTAATATTTTATTTTTAAATATATATATATATATAAAATAAATTGCACATGCACTTTAAATTCTGTGAAATAGAAAGAGAGAAAAAAATAAGGAATTTTCCTTTGAATTAGGACATTTCATGTACAGAATCTAGAAAAATCTCATATTCAGTAGAGACGTAAATTCAGTTTTTATTGTTTGAATTGCATTTCAGATGTAAATAAATAGCATAAACAAGAAGAGTCAAAGGAAACAGTTTTCCAGCAATAAAATTGTAATTAAATAAGAGAAAAATCCCTTTTTGTAACCAGTAATGTTTAGAAAGAAGAGAGCTGCATTTTTCTAGGGTGATTTTAATAGAATTTTAAATTGATATTCATAGAGCAGGACTTCTTATCGTCACAATTTGCCAATAGCCAATAAGAATATATAAATGAGTGGTGAGACTGCTATTGCAAACTTATTTTGTGCATCCCCAGGGAAGATTCAGTAATTGCAAAGTCACTAACTTCAGCAGTAATTTCAGTCTAGCTATACCTGCATAGCATAATCATTAACACAAGTGCTTTGGTGGTGCTTAAACCAATGGTAAAAGTTATATTTGAAAGTTAATAACTTAGTCACACAGAAACCTGAAGAATCTTAAAGCACTGCCAATACTTGCTGCTTAAGAGTTTCACTGGGATGAAACCCAGGACACCACCAAGAAGTATCTCTTATCTGCTCTTGGCCTGGACAGTTAATAAGACATTATCTGGGCATTCCCATAGGTTCACCCATGAACCCTGCTAGTCTTTTGCAGCTAAATAATAGCAAGGACAAAATCATGATTACATAAGGACTCCCAGGTGCAACAGGAACTACAAGGAAGAGCCAGTTTCATCAGTCTCCTAATTTGAGCATTGATTTGCTTTCCCTCAGCACGAAGCAGAAATTCATCTCTCATGAAAGGGCAAACAGCCCAGCCAAGAAACATTACAGATGTCATGTACCAAACCCAAATAAGATTTCCGGAACTGGGAGAGCTCAGCACTGGCACATTTTGATCTTATTGGGAGCACTTTGCTTTATTTCTTTATTTCAGAAATATGGCGGAAAACAAACAAACAAACAAGCAAGCAGCCACTTTTCCAGAACTGAAACTCCCCAGGCCTGGGCCCAGTGGCCTCCCCTGTAACAGAGCTGCACAGAGGCCATGGCTTCCTTCAGTTCAATAAGGTTTCCATAGCACAGAGAGCTGAGCAGAAGACTGAGGACACCACAATGAGCCCCTGACCAATATTTTAGAAACAGCTGATGGAACCTAAAAGCACCAAGGGTCATTGCGAAGGTCATAATTTCAGCTCTCAAACAAAACTCTCGCTTTTTAGCTATCAGTGGCCTACAGTCTTTTTTATTCCTTGAGCCTAAAGTTTGACTTCTGTTTAAAACACTTTTAGTCAGGTTTTGTCTTCAATTATTTCTTGTTTTTGCGAGCCTCCTAGTGTAAAATATCTTCTTTTCTCTTCTTTTTCAAGATTGTGTTCACCTTTGCTTAGCAAATCCTTGTAAAAAACTTTCACTATTTTAAAAGCTTAAAAATCTACCCAGATAATGGAACAGCAGATATCAGCAAACTGTTTCTATTAGCTGTACCGTATGGTCTTGCCTCTGAAACTAGAATCTAAAACACAAACGCATGTAGAAGTTTTTTGAGTATGTTTGCCTATCTGACTGTGTCCAATGGTTTTTAGCTTGTCACCCATAGACTTCTGGGTTTATCCATAATGTAAATTAAAACTGGCATATAGTCATTCACATGTGCACTGGAACCTCTCAGATCTTGACATGGCAAACAAAAAAAGTCAAAATCAGCTGTTTTGGTCACTTTGAGCCTCCTATCCACTCTGAGGCAGGATCATAACTGCACTACTGAGAGAAATTATTCTCCTCTCCACCCTCACTGTGGCTGATGTGGCTGTCATGCCTGGGGACTGCTCCTTGCACAATTTGATGAGCAGGAAAAGTAAAAAAGTTGTCCCAGGTAAAATAATGGGAAAATTTCCCTGACTTTAGGGTGTCTAGAAATCAGCTTATATTTAGATAAAAAGCAAATTTCTGTGTAGTAGTAATATCTCTTCTGACACAATTAGCTTTTAAAGTCACAGAGTGCAAGCTAGAAAGAAGTCAGGGCATGTGTTGATCACTGGTACTTGTAAATGGCTATTTACATTTTCAGTCTGTCAATTAAAGTACAATATTTTTTTTCATAAAGTAATTTAAAAACTGGGAACAACAGCAAGAGAAGGTCCTTAAAGTAAAAAATACATGAAAAGCCACTGCTAAAAATCTACACAGAGAATGAACATGGTATAAAATCTGTTTTGTTGGAGCACAATGTGCAACAAAACAAAAGAAATCATCACATCTAAGAGTGGCTTTCAGTAATATCATTTTAGTCCCTAGAGTGTGCTTTATGGACAAGCCTTTTTAAAACAAGCTTTTAAGTTTAAAGCTGCAAAGCTATAAAGGTTACCTGACATTTGACAAAGATTAGCCCTTCGAAGTTCCCAGTGAAGTATCTATTTGTGAAAATGTTGTTGTTTTCAGAACAGTCAGGACATTGCTTTGTTTGCAGGGCACTTCAAGCTATCATCTTTACTGTGTATGCAGAAAGATCTTAAACTGGATTTTTCCTCCTAAACAGATTTGGGAGTTTCTGGCCACCAAACGACCAGTAGTGGTGAGTTATGGCTCAGAGATGCAAGGTCACACCAAACACTTGCAAGTAAAAAAGCTACTGCTTTGCCAAGGGTCAGAGTGTTTCTCTTTTCCCTGTGCTCCAGTGACTGGGGAGCTGTCAGACACCCACAGTGAGGTCCCTGACTGGACAGGGCACCCTGTGCTCCTCTGCACTGAGGGACACATTGTGGTGTCCATCACCCCATCCCCTGGTGTGGGGCCATCTCCCAAGCCGTTGGAAAGCACAGGCATGGAGTGAGAGGAGAAGCAGCAATATTACTGTATTCCAAATTAGTAGGAAAGGCAGGGAATCAACCATAAAAACATAAAAGGGGGCTTCAATTCCCATTGTCAGGACTGAGCAGGAGTGTCTGAAGGAGAGAGAAAAACAGGAGAGCTTTGTCCTTAGGCTGAGAAAAAACACTGGGAAATTCAACAGTGTAAGTTAGAGAAATGAGGAATTGACAGCTGCAGCCACTTCTTTAATCTGCAGTATCCCTACAGAAAGTAATAAATTGAGTTGCATTAGCTGTAAGGGTTAAATACTTTGTTTTCAAATACTTCTCACAATTTACCCATGCCTCCCACAAAAATGCGTATTTTGGTTAGCCTCAGAAAAACTGATGTGTCTAAGGCTTGGAAAGGAAAAAGGAATTGTGATGAGATTTGACATCCTGAAGGGCTTGTTCTCTGATCAGGGAAGAAATGAAGCATTGAATTTTAAAAGAGATTTTCAACTGAAAATTTTAATTGGACCTCACCTTTAAAGCATTTCAAATCCTCTCTGGGTACAATACAGTGCATACAAAAAAAAAAAAAAGACTGTGATATTTTGATGTTTGCTTATCTCCATGCTGTCCTGAAGTATGACAGAACATGGTGTAAATTATGAATAGAACGTGGGCGCTCTGCTGCTGCACTGCAGGAGATGTGGTTAGAATAGGATTTTAGAGTTCAGCATTTTGTGTCTGTCAGTAACTAACTAAGCCCAAGGAAGGGATCTCGGTCTATGTCTGCAATTTATTTCTGCACAAGCCATGTCTTGGGCTTCTGTGGAACATTTTCTCTCCATCTTCCTTCTTTTGCACGAGTTTAAGTGAAAGAGACAGAGTGAAATGGGCAGCTACAGTCACTTCATTAGCACAATGGGTTTTATCCATGTTGCCAGCATATTGAACATGGTAGAAGCTACAGGTTTTCATTAGGAATTTTTACGGAGTATTTTTCTTTTTTTATTGCTGTGGTTAAGCACCCAAGCGATCAGTGTTTACCCTGATCTTCTAAGGAAAATCCATGCTTGACCTTCTTTAACAGTGACCTTTGCTCAGAAGGATAAACTGAATGGATATTGGCTTTCCTCCTTTTGAATCATAGAATCTTTTAGAGGTAACTTGTTTTGATGTTTAAAATCCATTATTCAAGTATTGCTGTTCCTAAGTGACCAATGTTTGGGATGGGACAAGACAAAGGGGCAAGAATATAACACCTGGCAGTGTAATTCCTCAAGTTAATTCGAATTATTTGAGAAAATGATAAATGACAACTATGAAAGCAAGAACTACTGATACTAAGAGAGGAAAAAAATAAATTACATCTATCTAAAGAATTTTTAAGTGTCTATTTCTGCATATTCTAATATGGCTATTATTAAATTCACATAATTCATGGAAGTAAGCATGCACATTTAAACTGGCAGCTGCTTTGTGGATAGGAGAGGATCTCAGCTTCTGTAAAAAAAGGTGTCTGTCAAAATCCTCCATGACTCACAGTCCCTCTGGGCCTCAGTTTCTTCCTCAGTAAAATAAATAGAATAACCTGGCTTTTTTCCTCACTGAGCAGCTACATTAATGCATCTTTTTGTAAATCCCATAGAAGGTTACAAAATGTTCTGATGTTCTTTGGCTTGTTGTTCTGAGCATTTTCTATTTTGAATCCTTGTGCATTTTTAGATGGGAGGCAGAAATGGGTCATTCCCTAGTGATTTTATTATGGAAGTCTTATATAAGGACCTGTAATTCTGCAACTGCTCTTTTCCTTATCAGTGACAGATTTAGCTATCACTTGTTTATAAGTACATATTTATTTTAATATATCACAGATATCACAGTGGCTTCTGTCTACAGGCTATTATCTTGACCTGTAAAAAAACCTTTTATTAGTATTTCTGTAGGAAAAAAAGGTCCTGTCACCAAAGACATAGTGGTAGCCCAAAACATCAGGAACTCTGACCCAAGAAACCAAATCTAATTAATCAGAGCCTTCAGCTCAACCCAGTTTGCTGTTCAACAAGAATTTTGATTAGTAAGGCTAGAGGCAAAGATTACCTTTTCCTTCAGTCCTTAAGAAGGTAAAGCTGGAAATTTGTGTATATGTTTGACAGAGCTGGTGCCTATAACGTGGATTACTTTTGTTTAGGCTGGAAGTCCTTGAACCACAGAACAACTTTAATGACCATTTGCAGCCTGCTCAGTGATTAAGTAAATGAACTCAAGCAAATGAACTACTGGGTACATTCCCAAACACTCAGTACAGGTTATTGAAACTGATCAGTTTAAACAAGCAGTAAATTGAGATATACTTCAACCTCTACCTATTTGTTCAATACAATTAGGAAAAACACCCCCTTGCTCACAGAAAAGTAAAGCTGGCTTTCAGTGCTGACAGGAAGTGAAAATCTTTAATGCACAGATGTTGGCAATTTACATTCAGTGTTGGGAATAAAAATCCAAAAGACATGGATGTCTTCTGGAGCTCCAGAGAACAGCACATACATCAGCTCAGCAGTGACTGTGCTTATGTGCTCCATGAGGAATGTATATTCAAGTCAGCACCTAAAATTGCAGCTGTTAATACATCTTGAACTGAAATGAAATTTGGGCCTTGGTGGAAAGAAATAAAAGACAGATATTCTTAGAAAGTAGGAAATGTGCTAAGAATCTGCCTTACCTCCATCTAGTTCTTCAGCTCCAAAATGATTTCTGTAGAAGAGCATAATCTCTATCTTGTAACACTTGTAGATAGTCACTAAACAAACAAGCAGCAGCAGAATAGCACCAAGCCCACCAGCAAGCTCAACTGTGTACATCAGCTCTGCAAAGAATTACAAAATGCAGTAACAACCACATTCCAAACCACAGCAAGATTAGCAGCAGACCTTGCATTTCTGTTAAACATTAAAATAAAATAATGAATGATGGGTTATTTTATGTATTCATTTAATTATAAAGACCTTTAATGAATACCTAATTGATTGGTTTTTTATTCTTCAATAAGCTGTTTTTTCCCTCTGATACATCATATGAATTGCTCATTTAAAAAATAATTTCTGCTGGGGATGTGTGTGTGTGTGTGAGTGTGTGTGAGTGTGTGTGTGTGTGTGTGTGTCTATGAGTATGTACATATATGTGATATATTTTGTAACTCTCTTCCTTTTTTCTTTCTGTAGATAGATCATAGTTTACTTTAACTAGATAAATGTTGCCATTTGACTTAGAGTGAAACCAAAGGTGAATGTTTACTTCTTGAGGACTATAATACAAAATCAGCTCTTCCCTTATTCCATACACAAAGAGAATGAGGGCAAACTGGACAAGGTTAAGGTTTTAATTTTTTTTTAAAGTAAAATGAAAAATAAATATAATTTTAAAACCTCACAAAACACTTGAGAGATGTGAAGACACATTATCCAAGGAATCCTACAACCTCCCATCTCAGTTATATTTATGTTAATATTTTTAACAATTTCCCAGAGCTCTGCATTTTATTCTCACTTTTCTCCCAGTGGGCTTAGCTGATGTGCAGACACAGCAAACAGTCCTGGTTTGTCTGTTGTGACATTCCCATTCAGACCCCTGGTGTCTCTGCTGCATCTGGTCACAGGATGGATTGGGATCACCACCATGGAGCTCTATTCCTGAGGGCAGGGACTGGTCAGCTGTGGCCATCATAAGTGTCCAGCACCAGCACTGGAGCTACTTTTCAGGCCAAAGGAAATACACCACCATGGACTTTTGCCTCCCTCAGCTTGAGGAAAGATCACAGAACTTCGTTACTTTTCATTTGCTCATTGACTGAAAACTGGTAGTGGCAAAAAAGGGGGGTAAGAGGAGAGTTGTTAACAGTTTTGTAATTGGAAATCACTAGATGGCAAGTCTGAAGCCCTTCCATGCTTTTCCAAATCACTCAGCTTTGAGGAATGATGAAACACCAGATCTTGGACATCTGAGGTACGGAGTTTGTTTCATAAAAGATCTGTGCTGAAACAAGTGTTATTTTCACAGTGTCCTCTTCAGGGGGGCAGCTTCTGTCTGAGTGAAGTAGTGTGGACTTGGAGTAACCTTTTCTGTGTCTAGTTGTGTAGATTTGATAATCCAGCACAATACAATTCAATTAGAGAAATAAAAGGTTCGAGGAAAAATTGAAAATTGCATTTATTTGACAGCATCTACTGAGAATCACACACCTTTTTTATATTATTATGAGGCAACTGTAAGAAGATTTCATTGCTCTCTAGAAGACACTAAAAGTGTAATAAAATAAAATAAAAAGGCATTTATATTCCATGTCATTCGTTCCAAAACTGTGCTGGAAACTCTTTTGTGTTAGATATTTTTAAGACTGGCATGGTTATTTCAAACTCCCAATACTTTTCTGGTCCAGAGAGGGAGATGTTATTAAAAACATTTGATAAAATATGGTTTGCATAGACAAGTAATGCAGTATTTTAGAATATAAATGGAAATGGAAATTACTCTGCACTGGCTTACTATACCCTGTTTATCATTTTGTAATACAGGTGATGCAGCTGTTCAATGGTAACTAGAAGAAAGGCTTTAATATTTCGGGTTGCTAGGCACAAAGTACTCTATTTATGTGCCTGCTGTTATGACTCACTAAAGGCAAAGAAAAACTTTGCAACTGGAAAACAGAAGTTTTTTCTCAACTAATGATTTTTATATTAAATGGAAAGAAATAACTGCAGGTATTCATCTGTTTTCTGTCATTGTGCATGAAATCAGACTAATACACTGCATCACTTTTGCCATCAGAGTCCACCTTAGTTATATGCTTCCCCATAAAGATTATGCCTTTATGTTTGCTTCAGTAAAATCTATCTGAAAGCACATGAAAGTGTCCTTAATTAGGCCATCAAAGCAAACAACAAAATTCTCTAGTCAGCCTGAAACATATAAGCAATTACCTTTTCATGTGTTGCTGCTGCGCCATCGTGATGGTACACATAAAGTGGCTCTTTCTTAAACAGATTTTTTTGCAAAGGAAGTTTCATGGTCTATTGATCTAGCAGAGCCAGCTTGTGCTTTCCTCTGTGCTGGACAGCATCTACCAGCACATGTTCACTCTGTGTTTTGGGCGCAGTTTGTCAGGGTTCAGAGGCAGCGAGGGGCAGTGATCAGCCCAGCAGATTGCTGCATCCTTACACCCAGCCCACGGGGTGCCTGAGCTCGCCCCAAAGTGCTGGAAGTGGGAAGAGCTGGAAATGGGAAGTGCTGGAAGTGGGACAGCCACATCCATGCAGCACCATGGAGGGCAGGGGGATTGGCCTAGGCACAGTGTCACACCAGGTTGATTGTTTTCAGGTCTTGAGTTTGTTTTTCTGCAGGATGCTGAACTGCGCCCTAAAAGGCCACTGGCTGGCTCTGAGATGCCTCAGGGTTTTTAGGAACAGTGTTACTCTGTGTTGAGCTGAACTGAAGGTGGAAGAAGCAGAAGGCTTGGTCCTGCCTCTGCTGTGGGCCCCTCAAGTGACTGAAGCCATTTCACATTTCTGTGCCTTGGTTTTCCCAGTTGAATTGGGGAAGGTGCTCTGGCTCCTCCCTGGCAGAGCTTACTCCTGAAAAATGCTCTGTGGGTGCCAAGGGTGTTGGTGATGGGTCTATCAGCAGTTTCAACAATGATGTAGTGACTTTTAAAGACAAGGTAAAGAGTAGCACCAAGGTTGCAGCTCATGGCTACCTTCACAATAGCATTTTTTTCTGCTGCTTTATTCTGCCTTTTACAGCATGATTTGAGCACAGTTGCTGCAGCAGGCATTACACTCCTTTTGAAGTGTGATCTGTTTTTCCTGCTGAAATTCAAGATTTCTGTAGAGGCTACATACTAAAAAGATTCCATTTCTTCACAATTCCACATCAGAAGCAAGATATGAGAAGTGCAAACCTTTTAAAATCTAGTTAGCTCCAGTGTTGCGTTGCTCCAATTACAGACCTGTCTCTCCTTAAGGAGCTGAGACTGAATGTAGAAAATAGTAATGGAAAATTACTTGGCTAACCCTTAGGGCGACAGGCATTCTGTTAAACACAACAAACGAGCAAGTGCCAGAGAGTTACATCCAGAAGCACAGCAATCATTTAGTTACAGGCAATTAACAAGAGTCTTCCAGTAGCTCAGGAGTAGCTCTACTCCAAGGAAAACACATTGATTGCTGCAGCAGTAGTAGATTGGTTTCTGAATAAATAGCTTCAATTTAAAACAAGATTTGTTACAAGCATTTTGACCAATAGCTACAATTTTTTTCCTTATCAGGAGGCTTTGGCCAAGCAACTGAGTGAAAGAGACAGCTAATTAAAACAAAGCACTTGTCCTCCCCAAATATCAAGCATATATGGCTTGTAATAAATGCACTCATTTTATACCTTTTCCTTCTTAATTGTTGGACACATTTGTAGGTTATATATTTGATCTTCACCTGGATCTAATATTTGATAAACTTCCTTTCACTCTGTCATACATGTAATTCACTTATCATAACTGAAGTTGTAAGAAGAAAGTAAATAAAAGTGTTCTGTCAAAGATTCATATCTTTTGACTCATATGACATGCTTCAGGGCTTTACATTTAATGATCTGTAAAAATTTAAAATTAATTTTATTCACTAATTAGCCCTCATACAGCTGAACTGCTAAGAAAAAGAATTATATTTCAAACATTCTTTTTTTTTGTGATTTATAACACTTTGAGCACATGTGATTTATAGCTGTGTATTCAGTTTCTGAGCCTTTTTCAAAATCCAATTACAGTCTATCTAAGGTTTCAATTTTGCAATCACTTACGCAGATTGCTCAACTTCATGGACTATAAGTAATTCCTCTGAAGTCAACAGAACTATTCACAGAGCTTCAGGTTAGCACATAAATAAATCTTTGCAACTTTGTGGCCAAAACTGATTTCCATTCTCTGTGCGTCTTGGATAATTTAACTCACAAAGAGATAGGGCTTGGTTAGAGGCAGTTCTCAGTTTGTTTGGGTATACCTTCACAGACTTCAATTATTAAAGGAACCATAAAGATAATAAATATAATTTGGAAGGGGAGCATGGACTGCAGTGTTGTAACATGCAGGTTTGGTTACAAAGAGGTGCCTTTCTTCTAAAGGAAGAAGAAAGATGCCTAGCACAGGAACACTTGTCTGAGTCTCATTTCAGAGATCAGCCATAAACAGTAGGCAGACTTTAAGCTAGCAGCAAAGAAACCCATACTCACAGTTTTAAAATTAAGAAGCATGTATTTTTTAAATTTTTTTGTTTGTTTGTTTGTTTGTTTGTTTGTTTGCTTTCTTTCTTTTTTCCCTGCTTAGTACAGTATTTGTTATGGCATAGCTGTAAAACAAATAATCTTCCCAAAGTATGTGGAACCACAGCTTTATACAGCATACACATATCCAATACATGTATGTATAAAATATATTCTCTACTTTTTAGGACTTTTGTTTGCTTGTTTCAAAATGCAAAAATAAAGAAATCTGGTTGTGCTAAAGGTACCTAGATGGGTATGTGTGAATATCCTATATGGATATCCTACATGGATACTGTTATGAATAATTACTGATTGATTCTGCAGGACAATAGTACTTCTGATTGCAGTAGAAGCAGATTTGAGCTACTTATTACCTTGATTATGAAATAATTTCTTAGCACAAAGTATATGCTTTCTGCCAGCATGGGCCACCCATGCCTGTGGATGTCTGCAGAACTGACTGAAGCTGGCTGAATTTAGTTGTGCTTTTCAATATGGTTTTCATTGCAGTAATTTCATTTTATTCATTAGAACTATTGAGACCTCATTTTCTTTCTT